GGAGTAAACAAAGCATACTTTTAGAATTTGATTAATAGGGAATATAAAATGGAATCGCGTATCTAAAGAAATTAATAATGATATTATTATATTCATGTACTGTAACAAAAACAGTAGTATATGTGTATGGCTGTTCCAGTGGCTGTCATGCGACTGCATCAGTGGTGTGATGGTTTAAGTAACTGACCTATATGCAAGAGGTCAGGTGTTCAAATCCAGCTCTCACCATGAGTTTTCTTTTAACAAACATTTATTTGAAAAACTAAAATAGCAAACTAAAATAGCAATAGCAAAATTATGGACACTCTTTTGACTTTTCTAAATATCAGAACATGTTCATACTGTATGTACACAGTGGTACCGCAGGGTGTAGGGCGCAAATCCATATGAGCCCAAAAGCCCTACATTAATATTGTGCATTCGCCTGGCGCTGTGCAGTTTTCGCATCTCTCCCTCTCTCACCCCCGGAAGTGCCACCTGTGCCAAATTTCACTCCACTGTCTGAGTCTCTGTGTCTACATTGTTTGTAAACAAACTGGTTTCACGGGTATTTTCAAAGTAGAACAGGGCAAGTCTTCCAATGACAGACACTCCACCTCCCCGCCATGGACACGTTTTCTTAGAAAAACTGATTCACAATGCGAAGTTGTTTCAGTCTTCTGTGTAAAAAAAATCATTTTGAATACCATAGGTGCTGTTTTTAAGACGCTGCTGAGTAAAGGAATTTTCCTGCTGTCAGCAGTATTGTGTATATAGCTGACAGTTATCTAAATGAAAACAGGACATAAAGAAAGGGTTTCAGAAGTCAAACAAAGCTTTATTCCTGTGCTTACAGTCTGGGTAATTGGAGGCTACACTATTATGATTCCTATGGTGATATACAGGTTTTTCACACGAAACCGTATGGAGCAGTATTTCTCGAGTTGTGAACATGTCTACACAGCGATCCCCTCGGGTTCCAGTTAGTGCGTAATTATGCATCGATGAAAAAAAGGTTTAAAAACATAGTTTTATCTGCAAGCTGTGAACATTTTCACAAGTCATGGTCTTTAAAATGCATTTGGTTTGAAGGCATTCTGTTTCCCTTCCGAAGATATGAACAAAATAATATTGGAGCATGGTAAAAAAATGGCTTAAAAATGACATAGTGAAGGCTGTGAAAACAGTCACAATGTACTTTGTACACACAGCAAGTGTTTTCGTAACTCTAGGAGGCTACAGGCATGCCAACATCATTTTCTAACTTTACCCCAGTGTGGGCACTGCATTGTTATCTCAATCATCTACTGTGTATTCGTTTTACACCACGGGAAGACAGGAGAATGTGATTGTACTGTATCTGTACGGAATGTATGTTCTGTTTTCAAAATTTAAGTGTTTAAAATGTATAATTAAAAATAAAAAAACTTGCAGCTTACTCAAATATTCTAGATGATCACAAGGAAGTGTATTGCATGTCTAATGGTCTAACAAAAACTACAGTATGCTTAAGAGTTGTTAAACCAGATTTTATTTTTCGGCACAGCCAGCCGGCTGAACCACACAGACACCAGCTAGCCTGCTAGAGTGCCACAATTTGCACTCAACCACATCCCAGATCACAGATCAGTCCCGGTTTATGAGATATTGCTGTTAGATCTTTGATCTGAGCTTTAATAGAGAGCTTATCTATGAAAAAATAAATCTAAATAGTGAGAAAGCTATGATTAAAGTGAATTAAGGGACTTAGAATGCGAAGATAATGATTTACATTGCATTATCAGATTGTGAATCAATCAGGCATTTTATTATACACGCCTTTGCGATTTTAATCAAAATGGGGAAAATGGGGTTAGAATTGCATTAGATATGCAATACATTTCCTCGTGATCATCTTAGAATCGTTGACTAAGCTGCAAGTTTAGTTCTAAGTATCTTAATAAACTTTCAGCATAGTTTTCTCCCTGTTTAGATTTATTTTTCTTGGGATCTTGGGATCAAACGTGGAAAGATTAGATTGTAATCATTTTTATTTTTTTAATACGTTTTAGAAAAGTGTAATCTATACTAAAAAACTGTATTTATTTAATGCCACTTTATAGTTATATTATTAGAGATAAGAAATCAAGTTGATACTGTTTAGACTTTTCATTATTTTTAACTCTATTACAGCATCGTACACATGCTTAAAAGAGAAGAGAGAAAACGCAACGTTTCGGCTATGAAGCCTTCTTCAGGTGTGAGGGTCTTCAGCTCAAAATGCAACGCTAAAATGTAATTTAGGCTCTTAAAGGGTTAAACTATGATTTGGACTCGCTTGACATCACTGCCTTTCATCTGAAATCCTGCTTGAATTCTGCTAAACTAAAAATTAGACACAAGAAGAGAAGAGGCTCTGGTGAAATTTCTCTGTGAACTGAAGAGTTAAAGTGTAAAATGTAAAGTGTCTCCTCCTTTTAAACTTGTTAATGCGACACGGAAGATATTACTATATGAATGATGTAGCGTTTTTGGCTCATGTGGGTTTGCGCCCTACACCATGCGATACTGATGTGTACATATAGTTCGAGCATGTTGTGATATTTAGAAATATAAAAAATGTCAATATACTGTAGTGTCCATAATATTTGCTATTTTAGTTTTTCAAGGAATGTTTATTTGTTAAATGAAAACTCATAGCGATTGCTGGATTTAAAAACCCAACCTCACACTTATAAGTCAGCCACTTAAGCGATCACACCCCCCAACCCAGTCAACCGCCACGCACTGAAACAGCAATACACATATCAATGGAAAGTTTTATACAACTGTTTGTGCAACAGTACCTGAATATAATTATTATATTTGATAATATTATATTGTTGTGATATTTAGAAATATAAAAAAGTCAAAAGAGTGTCCATAATATTGCTATTTTAGTTTTTCAAAGAAATGTTTGTTAAAAGAAAACTTGTGGCAATAGCTGGATTTGAACACCCAACCTATCGCTTATAAGTCAGTCACTTAAACCATCACGCTACTGCAACAGCCATGCACATACAGTATACTGCTGTTTGTGTTACAGTACATGAGTATAATAATATTATTAATTTCTTTAGATACCCGATTCCATATTACATTCCCTATTAATCAAATTCTAAAAGTATGCTTCTGTTTACTCCGATAACGAGCGTATTCACAGAAAAGGTTAAAATGATCAATTTTCACAAAGTATATAAATGCACAGTAATATGGTCAGAAGGAGGACCTAAAAACGTTTCCGAAATAACCACATGTAAGACTTTGATGCTTAAAATGTTTAGGGAGAAATGGAATACTGGTTTGTATTTTTTCTTTAAATTACCAATACCAGCAATATACAGTTTACATAATATGTTTATGTTCCTAAATTAATATAATTTATGACCTTCAGATGCGTTATGCTCCTCTTCTTTTTATGCTCAGCTACTAAAAGTTCACTTTAGTTGTAAAATTCCATATAAATATTCAATACTAAGCAGATTAAAATGTGCAAGTAAAGAGATTAAATGATTAAATCTTTCCACTACCAACCAATGCACCATGAGTGCCCCTGTCGGTCATTTTGGCCAGCCAGTCATGTACCATGGTACGGCACAGTGGTTTGTGCGTAGATGCGTGCGGTACAGGTTTGTACCGCGAACTTTGAATGGTTGTATCTGTACAGCTCCACATTGGGAGATATGGTGTGATGTGGGTTTCATGTTGTTCTTTAAATTACTTACTGTTTGCTCCAGATTGTTTCCCTCCATGCTCTATCAAGTTCTAAAAAACAGAAATGACATAATTTCCTTAGTGTGACTGGAAAAAAAATCAGTTTCTTCATCTTTTGTTTTCCAATCAGGATTTAGGTTACAAAGTGACAGTAATTTATCTTCTTGTCTGAGATTATTGCAACACCATTTATTAAAGTTTGCACTGTATATGTTCACACCATATGATAATTATTTTATTATTATATTTAATATTGCATTAAAAACATTTTTGTCTTAGACAATTGTCTTAAACTGTATTTGACATTATTATATCTCTTTATATTTATGCACTGAAAATAGTAACAGTAATAATTGGGTCTTCACTGTAACTTCACTGTATATGGTATTTTTAAACCATGATCTTGCTATTCATTGTATTTTTATTAGAGGAAGAATTTTAAAACTATAAGTGTGATTATGTACTGAATATGTACAGTACCATAAAAATTGTCAAATATTTCTGATATTGTACATTGTTAAGACAGATCTGCAGGCTGGGTACCAGAACTATACCTGTTAGTATCTCAGCCAATCACCAACTTCTGATGTGGTATCATAAAAGATCAAACCCATCTAATGTTTGGGATTGACTACTGACTGTCTCAATCTCTCTCCATCTTACGTGATCAGCTAACTTTTCTAACCACGGGACTACAAGCAATCACACCTGCTTAGCTTCAGTGGGTGGACAGTTGTAAGTTGCAGAGTGATATGGCTACAAGTAGCATATCCTCCATTATAAGAGCCAATCATAAGGTTCTTAGGGTTCTTAGTGGTTAATATGATTTCCTTTTCCTCACTGTAGTCATATTGGCTGGGTAAGTGGGTGAGTATGATGTGCGGACAACAGATCACAGATGAACAGATGACAGATCAAACTCATTCCAAGACACTCACACTCACTCAAATATTCCAAACAATTTTATATGATCTCTGATTAAAGACCATACTATATCACAGATGTAGTATAACTTGCTTTTTTTTATTTCTGATTAAATACTATTTAAGTTAGAAGCCTATCTTTCACTACACAGGAAAAGTGCATTGCTTACAAAAGAAACAAGTAATAGTTAACGGTGAAAAGCAAAAGAAGAAACAATATTTTGGCTGTTCAGTTACCTTCTTGTTCTAATTTTTTGTAGATTATTTATGAAAGAAGAATCTTACCTGGGTTTGGTTTTGGTTCTGGTTCTGGTTTTGAATTGAAAAGACCCATTTCTGTACTGAAATACAATTATGTGTGTTACATGCAATCAGTATCAATTTCGTAAAACAATATTAATTTTAAAAGTTTATCATCCTGCAAACATATGGGAACAATGCCATTCTTTGGCTTCTTCAGTATCAGTCTGTGGTAACTAGCAGATATTTACAATGTTTTTTTCTAAATCAAAGGTTAAATATTAAATATCTGTGACAATTAAAAAGAGATATAAACACTTAACTTGCTTGTTCTCCTCACTTGATAAATTGTTACTTCATGAGACCATACTCATCTGGCAGATTAGAACAATATTCATTTATGTAATTGTTTCATAAGATTATTGTTATGATTACAGTCATTACTATGGCTGCAGTTACTGAGTAACACCACTATAGTAATATTTTCTTTTTAAGATTACAAGATCAGTGTTAAAAATCAGAAAAGTTCAGTGTAACTTTATGATTATGTGCTAACTGTCATGGTAATTTAGGTTTGCTGCATTAATGTTGGTAATTATACAATTAAATCATTGTAATGATAAAATAAGTCAGTAACATGATCCTCCAGGCTTGATAATGAGTCCCCTACTGTTCAGCCTTTACATGTTCCCACTTTTCAAGTTATTTAAATCACATATTTCCTAAATGATCATTTCTATACTGATGATTCTCAAATCAGTGTCCATATACGAATTCTGACACTAATGTGCCTGTCTGTGCTCTCTAATTCCTCTGATTTCTCTCTAATTGCAGCTCTGGCATAAGTACATGGAGGACTGAAAATGTCCTTCATTTAAACTGAAACAGGACTATAATCTTGTTTCTCAGCACCTCCCATCAACTATGTAAAGCCAGTGAAGTAACCCTATCAAGCTTGACGTTTGACCCACATATTGACAGAATATTGTAAAAACAACATTATTAATATCCCCAGACTATGCCCTACGCTGTTGCTGATTGTAGCTGAAAAGATGGTCAACACTTTTCTCTTTTGTCTCTAGAATTCATTACTGTACCTCTCTACT